TTTTTACCTTCTCTGAAATAGCAGAGCTGGTAGATCTTGCAGGATTCCTGAGGAGTGCCACTTCTTGCCTCCCAGCAGTCACTGCTTCCACAATAGCATCTGGGCTCAAGGCCATGGCTGTCACAGCATCCCCACCCCTACAGGAGCAATGGTGGACATCCCTGGTCACTACCTGGACCTCTGGCACTGAGATTATTTCACTTGACCTGCTTAAGCCTGAACCTTCCCTTTCTGCAAGCCACCCCAGGCAGCAGAGCCCCATACCTGCCACTGGACCTAATGACAATTACCCACAGCACCCTTGTCAGGCTTCCCCTGAAAGACAACTTGAGATAATAATATAGTCAGGTTTCTTGCTTTAAGAACAGGCAGGAACGGGGTTTACAGAGATGGGTAGAAATAGTATTTTTAACCATATTCAGTACTAACAGTTTAAGCCTTAAGGCATAGAAAAAGTAACTGACCTCTGTCCTAGTCCATTGGATGCTATAACAAAATAAATAGACATTTTGGTATCTAGTGACAGTACACTTCCTGGTTCATCGGTAGCTGTCTTGCCACTGTGTCTTCAAATGGGAGAAGGGACAAAGGAGCTCTCTGGGGTGTCTGTTATTGTGATGGCTCTAATCTCACTCAAAGAAAAATCCACCTTCGTAACATAATTATCATCACCTAGGGGATTAGATTTCAACATACAAATTTGGAGGGAGGGGATACAAACATTCAGTCTATGACACCCTCTACTCTTATCTCAGCTTTTGAAATTTTTTTTAAGATTTATTTTTATTTATTTATTTACGCATACAAGAACTAGGGTGTAGGCCAGAGGTGCGGGAGGCGAGAGGATTCACCAGAGATAGAGTGGGGAGCAGAACAAGCAGATCTACTGATATACACTGCTGAGGGGAGCAGCAGACAAGGCAGGAGAGGTCTGCTGTGCCATATGGGTTAGCTCCCTCGTCGGGGATCGAACTCATGCTGCAGTTACTGCCAATAGCTTGATAGTGCAGTGTCTTTAGCCTCTGTGCCACCAGGTAGGCCCAGCTTTTGGAATTCTGACATAGATAACAGAGAGGGAGATGGAAAAGGCAAGAGAAAGCAAAACCTGGTTGAGATGAGCACAAAGTGAAATTGCAGCCCCATTTATTCTTCAACAGCCTTGTGAACTAATCTGGAAATTATTATCGACTCTATTTTATAGATGAGAAACACAAACCCAAAGAGGGTAAGTGACTTGTTCAAGCTAATAAGTAGCAAAACCTAGATGTTTCCCTGTAAGTTCAAGTTCAGGACTTTTTCTCTTTTCTTTCTTATCCCCCTAAACCCAGCCTTGTGAATATTGTTATGAATCTTCAGTCCATAGCTTGCTATCAATCCTATGAAATAATTGTTATAACAACTAAGAAACAGCACAGTTTGCATTTTAGGCACATAAGCCTGAAATCCAGAGAGGTGAGGAATTTCAACGTAAAACAAAACTGAGCCTTTCCAGGCCTCCCCGGTGGCGCAGCTGTTGAGCGCTGGGTTGCGAAGCTGCCCGCAGCCTCTGCAGAGCCGGTTTGATCCCCGGTCACTGGGTGAGGGTCCCACATGGCGCGCAGACCTCTCCTGCCGCCCGCTGCTCCCCTCAGCAGTGTACTTCCTCACTCTGCCTGTTCTACTCTCCGCTCTGGCTCTGGTGAATTCTCTCACCCTCCCATGCTTCTGACTGTACCCAGTGCTTGTATGAATAAATAAAAAAATCTTTAAAAAAAAAAAACAAAAACTGAGCCTTTCCAACTATAAGACATTGTCCCATCCCACTACTCTCAATAGCTGTAAATGCCTAATTAAGAGTTTTATCACAGAATAATTTTTGATTGTTTCCCAGTGAAAAATCAATGGTGCAATCACAGTGGTGATAAATGCCATGCAAGGCAGCCCTATTGACTGACATGAATCATTGCACAGCCATTAAAAAAAAAGAAAGAAAAAGGTGCTTGTGCTCACCTTCCTGGTGCTTCCTTATTCACCAGTGAAGAGATGTGGTTCCTGCACTCCATCATCTGAGTCTATCAAGGAACTTCATGGAGATCAGAGGCAGCATTAACACTGATATGCCTGTCGGCTCCTAAAGACAGACCCCACTGCACTCTACTCCTTTCATCTGGGCCCGAGCTACTGAGATCACTCCAGCCCTGAGGAAGGCAGGTGGTGTCTTTCAATATCTCCCTGAAGAAACCAGAGGAAGCAAAATAAAAGACTACAGAAAGTGAAACATATCTTTACCACTAACAGACATCATTTCTGTTTCTCAGTCTTGCAAATGTCAATGTCACAGCTAGTACTCAGCTTAGATGCAGCTTAAGATCAAGGCCTCCAGCTCAGACTGCCAGAGTTTACATCTGGGGGCTCTGCTACTTAGGATTTGTGTGACGGCAGGCATGTTATTTAACCCTTTGCACCTCAGTTTGCTCATCCATTATACAGTAATAGTAAACAGTAGTACAAATGACACAGGGTTATTGTCAGTATTAAATGAGCTAATATTTAAAAAGCACCATCCAGTTCAGGTTATCATCCCATGGCTTGACAGTCTCTGTAACTTCTTGGCCGTGGCCTTGATGGGCCAGCCCAGTCCCTTCTCCAGGCACACAACTCTGTTGCCACATTGTCACAGCAGCATCTCTCAAAGACATTCTTCTCATCATGTATGCCATTCATGCCTTTGACAAAGAGCCTAGTTCTACTTTCATTTCATCTATTTTATCTAATCCTACACCTTTACCCAGCCTCCTTGTTATTTGCTAACTCTGCCTCCCACGTGTCATCAAGAAAATTCTCCCTATTTGTTTTCATTCCAGGAAATCAATGTGCTACTCTTGTCACTCCATTACTTCTCACCACCTACAGAGTGTACTGCACATCCTCCCCATGCCTCCAATAACAGACTTTGACCATTCCACATTTTTCTTCCCCTTTCCCTTCAATTGTCTTCACCAATCATTTCAGAATTTTTATTATACGTTGACTCCAGGCACTCTATCATTTACTGCTTCATCTGCCCTTTCATGTATGTGTTGCTTTACGGCTTCCTATCCCACGATTTTTATATGCAGGTTCTTATTTGGAGAGTTTACTATTGACAATCAGAAACAGCAAAGAATTTTCCACTTTGGGGGATAGTTATATATGTGGGATTAGCCGAGAGTGCTGAGGCTGATAAAATGTTCAGCATGAAGTGGGCACTCACTGCATGTTATTCCCTGGTGACAAAAAGGTGGCTTGGTCCCCTGAAGACACCAAAGGAGAAAAAGCCCTCAGGCATCTTCCTAACTGGAGCATATTTTAGAGCATTCTAATGAGACCCAATCCGAAACCTGCCTCCTGTAGTCATGTGTTTCATGGAAGTGCTAAAAGCTAGTGTATGAAAAAATCAAGTTAACTGTAGCTATTTGGACTGTTGCACACTTCTCTGATGTTCTGAATGCTTGTCTGGTTTGCATTACGATTTCCTTCCTTGCTGGAAAACTACATAGACTTTCTCCCTTTCTTTGGAAGAAGTGGAACCTGTTGGAAATCTGAGGCTCCAGGATTCAAATGCAATGGGCTTGGCTATGGTACTCTGTAGTGCATTTCTTGACAAGTCCTGAAAAGACCATTGAATGCTGGCCTTTGCTTTTTTCTGCAATGTTTGGATGTGTTTCAGCTGCAGTGTTTGGCTGGCTAGAGTAATCGAAATAGAATTTTTTTTCTTCCTCAGCAATTTTAGGTTACAATTTTATCCTTTACAGTTAAAATGGAATTTTTGACTATTCAACTACTTTCAAGTACAATAGAATCATAACTTGTTCACAAATAACCTATCATTTTTAAAAAAAAAAAAAGATTTTTTTATGCATAATAGAACTAGGGCATAGGCCAGAGGTGTGGGGGGTGAGAGGATTCACCAGAGACAGAGTGGGGAGCAGAACAAGCAGATCTACTGAAATACACTGCTGGTGGGTGTAGCAGGCGAGTAAGGTCTGCTGCGCCATGTGGGTAGTTCCCTTGCTGGGGATCTAACTCGTGCCACAAAGTCTGGCAATAGCTTGATAGCACGGTGTCTTCTTTTTTTAAAGATTGATTTATTTATGCATACAAGAACTGAAGTATAGGCCAGAGTTGTGGGGGGGGAGAGAGAATTCACCAGAGACAGAGTGGGAAACAGAACAGGTGGATCAACTAAAACACACTGCTGAGGGGAGCAGTGGCGAGTCAGGAGAGGTCTGCTGCACCATGTGGGTTTCTCCCTGGCTGGGGATCAAACTCATGCTGCAGAGGCTGCGGATAGTTTCATAGGTTGTGTCTTAACCCAATGTGCCACCAGGGAGTCCTAGCACGGTGTCTTTCATCCCTGCGCCACCAGGGAGGCCCATCTATCTTTAAAAATTACATGGAAACAGGTCAAAATATAAACTACTTGTGCTATCCTAGTCAAAAAATTGTAAGATATTTGGTGAGTTCACAAAAGGATAACAAGTTCCATTAAAGATCTTTTTTTTAAATTAAATACATTCATTTTGGAGGGACTTTCACATATTACTTATTTCAAATGATTAAAATGTTATCTCTAGTAATCTCTGCAATGTCATAGCTCAGTGCATATGTGGTGGGCTGGGGGTTTGATGCTCTGTGTAATAGGCTATTGTTCTCTGGTAATCTTCAAAGGGTTGCTGGCCTTTGAATCTGCTCCATATCTAAAATTCTAGCTTTAATTATCAGATTAGTCTGCATTTTCTCTTGGTGATTAAGGATGGGAGAGGCTGAAATGTGTTTATTATTCTGCAAAATCCTTGAGAGGGGTAGGATTCCAAATGTTTAATTTTGTTCTGGAAATGAGAGCTGGTCAAATTATAGACTCCTTTTAGCCAAGTGAGGGAAATTAATAAATCAGGAGCACAGAGTCATTGAGTGACACGACATAAATGGCTGTGCATGTGGTGCACTCCACTAAACAGCCCTGGAACTGTGCCTTTCAGGGTCCCTGCAAGTCATGAACAAAACAAGAAAGATTATGGAACATGGGGGGGCCACCTTCACCAACGCCTTTGTGACCACACCCATGTGCTGCCCCTCCCGGTCCTCCATGCTCACCGGAAAGTACGTGCACAACCACAATGTCTACACCAACAACGAAAACTGCTCTTCTCCCTCATGGCAGGCGATGCACGAACCTCGAACATTTGCTGTGTACCTTAACAACACCGGCTACAGAACAGGTAAGGAAGGGATGAACTTTCTGACCCATAGACCTCTGGTAATGCATCCCAGACACAGGAAGATGCATTGTGTGTAGAAATAACTGAACTTCCAAAAAAACCCTAAATGGAAGTTGTCTAGGCTTTTGTCTCCTGGTAGTATCCTCCCCAGCCCTTACTTATTAGTCTGAAGAACATACCATTGAGATATCCTTAAAGAAAAATCATATGACTCTCAGTGAACACATTATGAATGTTGTACCCCCCAGAACACCCAGCAACTGGAATTTTTTAAGACAGCCTGCAATAGGTAAGTTTTGTCCCATTTACCCATTTACCTAGCCTCCCAATCTCTAGGGATCATGGCACATCTTGAGGAAGGTTGTCTTTAATGTTGGTAAGTTCCTACTAATTGTTCAATGAGAAATCATGGGGCGGGGGTGGGGGGGATTCAAATTCCCTAACACCTACCTCAGGGTCTGGGACATAACAAATTATCAACATTATTTATGGAATTAATGAATAGCTGAATGAATAAAATGATGTGTACTATCTCATAAGAATTAAAAACATCATTACTAAAGCGTGTTAGAAATGATTTTGAGGTTTACATATTCTCTATTCTGAAATTTTTAAAAAAATGTTTTCAGATAAATGTATTCTTTCTAGTCTCTTTCAAAAATGAAATTAATCATTCCATTAGACTTGAGAAATATGTGGCCTTTGCTTCTTTGCAGACCATCCTGTGGACATTTATTGCTTGTTATTTATGGATAAAAATATTGATTGTGTATATGATAGTTTCATCATTCACAGGCATCTCAAGATCTCTACACACTGAGGAAACTCCTCCCATGAATCAAGGGAGTTTAATGATGTTAAGGAAAGAAATTAGGTTATTCAGAGTGCCTTATCTTGAGTGTGCTTTCTCACAAAAGTGATTTAAATTTATAGCTCCATTTATCTGAGAGCCTTAAGCAATTTGCAAATCCATCAAGCATCCCTGTGGGGTTCATAGACAACAAATATACTTGGCTCTACTTTATGGCTGAGGTGGGGATTTCAAAAATTATGTGACTAGCACAGAAGCAAAACCAGAAATTGTTCCTGATTTCAAGCACCAAATTTTGTTTTTCTCATGGGAAACACGTGAAATCAGTGCCTTTCAATAACTAACACCCTTATAATTTGATCTCTGGGAGCAGACAGAATTTGCAAGATAGGAACTTTCGGAAATAGTGTGTAGTGACACAGGAACCCTGCCAGGACTTCGGTAGTCCACTAAGGCTGGCTTGTTTGTATCACGGTTATATCCAGAAAGGGTAAAAGAGAGATTATTAGGTTCTGGAAAAATGGTGTACATCACTGTGACTACAGTTGGCAATATCGTATTGTGTACTTGAAATTGCCTAAGAGGTTAGAGTTTGGTGTTCTCACTACAAAGGAAATGTCAAAAATCATGAAGTGATGAATATGTTGATTGGCTTGGTGATTGGGGCAGGTGGGGGTAACTTGTGTTGCTTACTCCTCTGTATGAGATATTTCAGCTAAGTAGTGTCAACTAATTCTTACAGCAACCTTGAAAAAAAGGATTTGACCATGTTACCAGTGAAGAAATGGAGACTTGGGGTATTAATTGTCTAAGGTTATAAGGTAGTTGGCAATAGAATGAATCTAACACATCTCACCCCAAGTTCCCTTCCTCTTCATTATCTTTTTTCTTTATGTATGTTTCTACTGATCCCCATTCCAAACTATCTTACAGACATATGAAATATAAAAGCATACAATGCAATCAGGATCTTGGCAAATGAAAAGTAGTACTAGTTCAAACTAAGCAAAGGTTACATGCCGTACATATCAATCTGCAGGCCTTGGAATTGTAGTGAAAGTTTGCATACTCAAAAGTAAGCTTCCAAATGGCAAAAACAAAAATGCAAACACCATTCATTTCAAAGCTCCCTGGGTCACCATGACAAAAACATATTAGTTGTTTCTAAGAAGCACAGTACATCTGCTACTTGTTCTCAACTGCCCTCGGCTGTGCTCACACTCCAATGGATTATAAGAACTTGAATTAATTCAGAGATTATTTAGATCAATTTCCTTATTATCAAATAGACAAACTAATACCCACAAGAAGATGAAGATGACTTGCTGAAGTGACACATGTGATATTCTAATAGAAAGAGCAGGTGCCAGGACCTTGGCCTTCAGGGATCTTTCTATTACACCCTAACCTTATGGGTTAAGTCTAGGATGAAAGCCATAAGTCGTTCCCATGACAATGGTCACTGCATTCGTGTAACCCAGAGGGAGCTGTCTTCTTCAGAGAGATTTGTTCCTGGAAACATAAGTCTAATTCTGAAACCAACCTTCAGAATTAGAATCAACCCTAGGTGTCTAGACTCATAGATAACAATAGAATTTCCTATGAAGTAAAAGGAATTCTTTTGAGGGAAATAGAACTTTTCCAAATAGTTAGGAATTGATACAGGATGATAGGCACTTAGAAAAATTAATTTTTATGTGTCCATTAGAAAATCAGAAAAATGAAAATTGGAATATAAAAATGACAGTGATAGAGATCAATATAAATTAAATTTAACTTTGATGGGAAAATACTGAAGTGTTTCAGACAACTAAGAAGATGTCATTGTGACAGTATATTGATCCAACCAGGAGCAGAAACTCATTTGAAAATATACAAATTATCACACCAGGATAACAAGCATCTTAGGAAATTAACAGAATTGGTAAGTAGGTATTAAACCAACATAATTATTAATGAGGCACTAAACTAGTGGGGGAAGAAGTCAATGTATAAAGATTTTATAGTTTTCCTCATAATGAAGACATTATTTGGAACATTTAGCTAAAACCTGAAAAAAAAAATGAAGGAAGCTAAAATGTATATTATATTTAAATATCTATCTAGAAGAAAGCACAAACAGTGATCAGTTTTATGAACAACTCAGAGAAGAAAAATTACTAAGATGCTTATTTTGGGAGGCATCCAGAATACATGGACTTACATAAATTGAATTGATCCAATATTATATTTACCGTTGTATGACATGATTTTTCTTTTTCAGAACTGAGGCATATATTTGGACTGGCTAGAGCCTCATTTTTCTAACTTTACTCATGGAAAATATGACTCTCCAGCAGCCTAAGTGTTCAAAATAGGGGAAATATAGTAACATGTCTAATGCATTTTATGTTCTGACAAGTAAAGTGGGAATGCTATTGGATTATCTACCATAAAAATAAATATTCTGCTTATCTTCCCCCTTCCCAAATTTTTAGTTTAAATCTCTAGTGAAAGCATGAATATGAATGCATAGCCTAGAAGTTTTTAAGTAAAAATAGAATCCACATTTGAAAGGTAGCATCAAGTGTTGAAAAGAAAACTGAAGAAAGCTGTAGTCAAGTCCTTGTTCTGTCTTTAATTTAATTTACTGAGAACTTGTATAGGCCAGTTTTACAACCTACATAATGCAGAGATTAGCCTCAAATGATGCCTAAGACTTTTTTCCCATCCAAATATATTATAATTTTGTTATAGTCATTGAAATTATATATTGATCATTTTGTAGTTTTCAAATTATAATCATAATACTTAATACATAAAATAATATGTGAATTAAGTTTTAGTCATGCTAATTCTTCATCATTGTGGTGAAAGGAGCAATATTTAATTGAGATTGGCAATAAATCTTTTTGTAAATAATTCTTTTGTAACAATACAATTTAGGCAACTTAGTCAATTTTCTACTTTCATGTCTTTTAACATTGCAAAATTTATTCGTCTTACCTATGACAAGTACAATTATTTATTCTCTAATATGGATTTTCTTCAATGTAGAATTCATTTAAAGTAAGACAAGCTAATTTACTTATTTTTATGAATTAGGATATTACAGATTTTTGATATAGCATACCACAGTGTATATTTCAGTGAACCATAGTATGCTTAGAACTACACTAGACACTGAGATATAAAGAGATATAAAGTAAGACCCCATCTTCAATAAATTTATAATCAAGTAGGGATAACCAGACTCACATATATAAATCGACATAAAAGTAGACCACAATTTTAAATTGGTTAAAAAAACTTGCTACCCAAATCTATCAATTAGTATAACATTTGTTATAGTAAATAAGATTTGACCTCTTCATAGTATTGGGAATGTTTTTTATAGTTACTATTGCTGGCTTAAAAATACAAACCTTTATTTCCAATAATTCAAGCATTAAGTATTATGTAACTCATAGTCCTGGACAGAAGTAGCATGACCTAGGGTCAACAATCATAATCAGGTCCTTCTACTGTTTCTCCCTGTCACCCAAGCCCTACCACCTTGAACAACTGGTAAGAGAAGTGTTTAATGGTGTTTCAAAGTAGGAAATGATATCGAAAGACTGACAGATGGCATCTTATTAGTGATTATCCAGGTAGCAGTGAGTTGAATTGCCAAAGACAAAGGATAGAAAAACTTCAAACTATACTTAATATAATGGTTACATGGTCAAGAAAATGAATGGAAGGGGTAAAGATTTAATATATCTGGAGGGAAATAATTAGAAGCCCAGATAATCAATTGCAGAGTGCTGCCAGGAAGCATAATGTTGCAAGCGGCCAGGAAGTGATTACAAATGAGTCTCAGCGTCACAACAAGAAAGGTGGGTAACTTGAAGCTGACTACGCTGAGGAGCCACTTTGTGACACGTGGGTACTGATCTCTCTTGGAACAAGTGTGAGGGCACATCTGGAATAAGTGTATTTTTTTACTCTCCACTAACACAAAGATACACTAAATGAAGGGAGTTCTGAAACGAATAATAAGGACTGTTAAGAGACTTGAAGGAATAGTTAATAAGGGGAGGATTTGGGGAAAGGGCTATAGCCATAACAATGGGTAGTACACAGTACAATATAACCTATCCAGTAAAACAATGAGGGAAGGGCAGGGATGACTTGGCATAGCTGCCCTGAGAGGAAAAAACAAAAAATAAAACTAAAAGTGGCAGGGAAAAAAATTAAAAATAATCAGGATAATGTAAGCCAAATGGGAAAGAATTTATTACCACAAAGTCAGGTTGGGGAAGAAAAATAACGTAACTTGTTAAGACTTTTTTCCCCTGAGATTTATTTATTTATGCATGCAAGAGCTGGAGTGTAGGCCAGAGGTGTGGGGGCTGGTGAGAGGCTTCACCAGAGACAGAGTGGAGAGCAGAACAGGTGGATTTACTGAAATACACTGCTGAGGGGAGCAGCAGGCAAGACAGGTGAGGTATGCTGCTCCATATGTGGGTTAGCGCCCTGGGTGGGGATGGAACTCAGACAGTCGAGGTAATAGCACTGAGACGTAACCCCTAGGCCACCAGGGAAGTCCCTCAAGACATGTTTTCAAATACACAAGTGCAGAATGCTGGTACAAGAATCCCTGGCACCACAGAATGATAAATTATGTAAAATCAGAACATGGACTTGAAAGGTTACTGATAATTGTGATGGTAAAGATGATATCAACAGTAGCAGCACTAAGTCCTTGTTATGTGCTTATTATTGTTTAAAGCACTTTGCATGTGTGTCATTTCATTTTACCCTCACAACAATCCTACCAGTGTTATTATTATTTTTTAAGATTTATCTGCTTATGCATACAAGAGCTGGGGTACAGGTCAGAGGTGTGGGGGATGAGAGGATTCATCAGAGACAGAGTAGGGAGCAGAACAGGCAGATCTACTGAAGTACACTGCTGAGGGGAAGAGCAGGCGAGACAGGAGAGGTCCTCTGTGCCACGTGGGTTGCTCCCGGCCGGCCCGGTGATCGAACTCATGCTGCAAAGGCTGCAGAAGGCCCCATAGGCTGCGTCTCAACCCCTTGCGCCACCAGGGAGGCCCCCAATATTATTATTATCAATATCATCTTCATGGGTTTACAGAAGGAGAATTAGAAGTGGAGAGCAATGAGGTAACTTGTCTGTGGACAGATAGCTAGTAAATAGCCATCAGAACTTGAACCTGGGCAGACAGGCCCCAAAGTTTAGCCCCCAAGGTTTATATTCCAAATCACTATGGTCTTTTGCTTTAAACAGGAAAGGAGAGGAAAGTAGAATAGAGCCCTGGGGACAAGGAGCAAGCCAGAGGAAAGAGCTGCCCGAGGTTATTAAGTGGTAGGTTCCTGGAAGCAGCTCCTTCTGAAGTAAGTCGTTGGGGTGTGGCCTTGGTTTGCTGCCTGTGACTACACGTCACACAGTGTTTCGTCAGAAAGAAAAATTCATCTTGTGGTTCTATGTGAAAGGTGGTTAGTCTCTGAAGACAAGAACCCCTCATTAGGAGAATTCCTGCCACATGTAGTAAGCATGGGTGGGGGTATCCTGAGTCATAGCTAATGTGAGCCCTTCTGACACTTTGTTCTGCACCCATCGATCCCTGGCAGGATCCTCAAGCAGTGAACCTATGGCAACTGACCGCTTGATTGATTTGCAGATTCAACATATAAACATTCATTTGATAAGCAAACACTGACTTGCTTCTCAGACTTGAGTCAACACTTTGAAGAAAATAAACCTAACTAGAAAAGCTTTGGCAGCTCTGAAGCTTTAGTCTATGAAAATATTTAGGCCAGATCACTTCAAAAATTGCAATTCTAGTGAGAACACAAAATTGAACAAGTCAAGATCATGCAGACTCCCCAGAATACGTGGGAACCTATAAACACCAATGTAAGAAACAAAAGTCACGGATCCCCTGTACCGTGTGCAAGGATGGGGTGGGTGCAGAAATGAGGCAAAGGCAGTGTTTGCTCTCCGAAAGCCTGCAGTGTAAGGGACATTAGGCTTATAGAGGAATATGATAAGTCCACAGATAAAAAGGAGTCACAGAAATAAAGTGCCATGGGATCGGGGCAAAGACTGGGAATAAAATGGCTCTGACCTTAATACATAGAGCAGGAAATTCAGAGAATAGCACGAGCAAGTGTAGAGAGGTGGAAACCACAGCAAAGGAGGAAACTCAGCTGCAGAGGTGGGCAGTTAGCAGAGATGTGTGAGATGGCGTTGGAAAGAAAAGGATTTTTCCAGACCCAGATTTTGCCTTGAATGGCAATTAAATTTGATTCTGCAGGTAAGGAGGGTTCATCCAAGTTTGAGAGAAGAGGGTGATATGACTGGACCTGGATTTCAGGAAGGTGGCAGTGAGAGTGGACAGGCCCTGGCGGCTGGCTTGGGAAGTCAGTCAGGAGACTGAGCCTGCATGAAGGGTGTCAAGTCACCACAGACAGAGGCCAGGACAGAGAGTGATGTAGGACCCAGGCAGCCGAAGTGACTGCTCAGGAAAGGGAGCAGTGGAGCAGGTGGAAAAGGGAAAGCTGGGTGTTGCCATTCTGGTTAACCATCAGGGTAATTGTTCCACTCAGAGAATGACAGAATATCTGAGAGAAATAAATTTGGAAAGGAAAAAATAATTTCATTTTGGATGATTATATTCAAGAGCAAGTAAAACTTCCAGGTGGAGCTTTTCTACTGGTAGCTATACATCACAGATGAAAGCAACCAAATTAGCTATTGTATAAAGACACAGAAATAATATACAATTAAGAATTTAAGATTCAGAAAGGTGTGCTTTAAGAGCAATATCAACAAAGTACCTTAATTTTAGGATCAGATTTCAACATTCCAATTAGTTACATCAAGGAACTAACTTTCTTCAGGTATATAAGTGGAGGCATCTCGAAAACCTGCTTAATGAAGCAGGGAAGTGATTTTGACATGGAAAATATCTGCCTGGCCAGAGGACAGGGCTTCATCCTAAAAAGGATGACAGCTTTTTAAAAATCAGAAAAATAAGTATCAGAAAAATGAAAACTTTGATGCATGTACAGTGTGCATATGGGTATAATATGCAAATTCACATACACATACCACCCCTACATACTTATGTAAAATAAAATTTTCTCTAATCTTTTGTACGTGATATTTTTGGTCAAAATCTATGTTTACCCAGAATAATACTTGTTTATACCCATTTTCCTAGTGTAACTACAATTAGCAGTCATTCTCTCTCAAAAGCATGTAAAAAAATACATTAATGGCTACCCTCCTGATATTCAGAGTTTTGGATTTCACAATCTAACCCACTTTGTTCCTAAAAATCCCATCCTGCCTCACTCTCTTCTTTGTCCTTCTTCTGTGGTCATCTTTGGCACAGGACCAAATTCATTTTCTTCTTCCAAAATGATCAGTAAGCCTTTCTGTATAGTCACCCTTTTAGGATGGGACATGACAAAGTTGCAAATGTGAAGTCCTTCCAGTGGCCAGTCCAATGAGCAGTGGAGGCTTTATGGTGCCTATAGTGTGTTATACTATAATTCTATAAAACATTAGTCATCAGTGTAGTAACTCTATATTGCCAGAATTTTTATTGTCAATAATTAGACACACAGTGAAATATATGTAACATAAATACCAATAACAAAAAATACAGATAACAAAAAAAATAATAATAAATAAAACCTAACCACAACTCATGAAAATGGAGTTGACCAAGCATCCTTGGCTTAGGAAAGTCATACTCTCTGGATATGCAAAAACAAAGACCAGTTTTTCAATAGTATTTTTCATGATAAGTTATAAATCTTATTTTAACACAAAGATTGAATCTGTAGTTGTCCAATATTTGCTCATTGGTAGCATTTCAGATTTCACACTGGCATCTTCTCTATTTGTCACATCTACCTGACAAAAGGGTTCATTCTACTTTTGCCTCAGTAGAAACACAAGAAACAGGTGCACCCAGATACCACAATTATGGTGATTTTATTGAACCGTAGTTCATGTACTTGGTTCTACTTTTATTTGGAAAGAAGAAAGTGTGCGTGTGTGTGTGCGCCACTTTGTCAAATGATTAAAGTATTACATGAATATTATTTTGGCATTTACTCTTACCTTGGTTAACTTTTGTTCTACTGTCTTTTGCAATTGATAATTTCATGCTAATGAGTTTATTTATGATTAGTCATTTCATACAAAAAAATATGCCTTTTTTTCCATTGTAGCCTTTTTTGGAAAATACCTCAATGAATATAATGGCAGCTACATCCCTCCTGGGTGGCGAGAATGGCTTGGATTAATCAAGAATTCTCGTTTCTATAATTACACTGTTTGTCGCAATGGCATCAAAGAAAAGCATGGATTTGATTATGCAAAGGTAATTTCCAGGCACTTTTATACTGCATCAATTTACTTGTGCATAATGGGGAAAAGTCATTTTCAGTGAGTTAACCTATTCACAAGATTGGCTTTCTATGTTCTGACAATGTTAAAATGAAAATTTTAAGGTAATTTTAAGCTCCAGGCAAGAATGACTCTCAAGGAACACTGACGTGATATAGTGATTTTTTCCCCCTTATTAGGATGAGAAGCAATCAGCTTTTGATGAAAGCATCATCAAGATCATCATAGGTGCTTCCACTCTGTTTTGTGATGATTTTTTGGTTCCCATCCCAACTCTAGAGACTTGTTCACATAATCATATGTTCATCTTGCACTGTTTTGCTTTTCACTGGGTTGAAGTGTATTTTATCTGTGGCTCAGATTTAGTTTAAGAATTGCAGATGTGTGCAATGATCAAAGGTTGGCAAACCACATTCCTTGCTTTCACTTCTGTCTGACCAAACTTAGCTAGGTGATAAGGACACTACCTTGGCAGCTGGAGCCCACAAAATCCATTAAGGCTATCGATCCTAATATTTCCAAAATAGTTTCATAGAAATTGAAATCAACACTCCCCATGGTTCTTTAACAAATGAATCTTAGATTTATTTCACAATGTTGTATGGTTGCCAACTTTAAAAGAGTTTTCAGATCATCAGCGTGAATGGGGAAAATATCTTTGAATTTAGTGTGAAAATTGGCCTAAAATGTCCTATTCCCTTCTTAACCATACTCGTCTCTTTCTCCTATATCTAAAAGAAGGTGAAGATTTGCTCTACATACAATATATCACTAAAAAGAGCCATTAGTAGAAATCAAAAAGAAGGAAGCTGGTTTAATTTTGGCACATTGCTGCCTTTATGCCTGACTTTATGCCTTTATGCCTGACTAAGGGGATTGGTAGAAAATAAGGAGTAAGGCTCACTTTTTCATAGCCTTCAGAAAACAGTGAATGCAAATACATTCACAAATGTTGCTAATAGGTTTCCAGACTCATCAAAGTTGAGAGCTGGTGGGGACCTCGGAGACAGATCTAAGCATCTTCCCACAAAGTGCACTAATTGTCGTTGCTATCATTTTTTATCTGTGGGGATGCTTTTCATGCTCCTTGTTCAAGCTATTAACCTTTCTTTCCCTGTTGTCCTAAAGAGAGCAAAGTAATCAAGAGTCCCTCCAAAGACTAAATCAGCGTAACTTGCACATTATCACAGCTGATTAAGTGTCAAAGACAACTGTGTCTGAAAAGAATATATATCTTTTTTTAGTGAGGAAAGGAATGAAACAGACACTCCCTTGGAAGAAGGTGATAGTCTGTGTACTTGTCTTGACAATGACTTGTGACACAGATTTTGTCCCTTTGGCAATGCTTTTGCAGCTGTTCAGGTCCTTGAATCTATATGTGATTAGTCAAGCCTGGAAGCCTCTGACACTGTGAACACAGCCAGGGCACAGAATAAAGTTTATCCTGGAGCTCCAGGCCAATGATAAATACTAAGAAGGTGCAGGTGGTTTAATTTAAGTTTTCATCATTTCTTTCCTTTTCATTCCAATTCCTTCCTCCCTTTATAGACTTGTATCAGCCCCCCCAGACTGCTGGTTAAGTCATTCTATTAACAAGTCGGGCTCTGATCCCAACAGCTGTATCATTTTAGTTGTGCAATTAACAGAGTATAATTTGCAGGAAATCGACTGCTCCCCATATTTAGTGATTCAAGTAAATTAATTGATAAAAATGTCGTAGGTTTCCCTCTGCATCCAGATTTTGGCCAGAGCTTTGATTAGTGATTATTTTGTAAATCCCAATGGTGAATTTTCAATTTAAAGAAAAATCTTTTGTTTATGCAGTGTGTGTGTGTGTGTGTTCTACAACTGTGAATATCTTGTGGGTGTGGGTGTTTCCTGCCCTTGAAGTAATTAAAATTTTTGTCAACGAATTACATCAACGAAACCTGAGATTGAAATATGTATCCGGTGTTTCATGGATTGCCAGATCTGATGATTATCTTGAGCAAACAGGGCTTGACTTTTTTCTTTCCTAATTGCTAAGTTGTGCATAACTTTAAATAATTTTTTTTGCATGTTACCAACCCTAGAAAGTAACTGGCAACTGATATTTTTCTATTATGGAAGATGTTTTGCTGTCTTGGGAAGTACAGTTTTTCTTTTTGTTTTAGACCTTAGCATGTGATTCACTGAGTTGCTTCTGAGGAAAGCAGTATGCAAATGTGATCTGATGAATGTCACCTTTTGTAATTTTTGTTTTGTGTCAAATATATGTTTCAGGACTACTTCACAGACTTAATCACTAACGAGAGCATTAATTACTTCAAAATGTCTAAGAGAATGTATCCCCATAGGCCCATTATGATGGTGATCAGCCACGCTGCGCCCCACGGCCCCGAGGACTCCGCCCCACAGTTTTCAAAACTGTATCCCAATGCTTCCCAACACATGTGAGTAGCCACAGCAGCTCTGGGACCTGCTTAACACTGACCTTTCTTTTGATCCCTGCTCTGCTCCTCCATGTCTCCCCGTTGCCTTCCACACTGCACATCCTCAAGGCAGAACAAGGGAGTCCACTGTGAGACCACAGAACAGTGAGGCAAAGGGACCTAAATAAAGGGGCTCATCTAGATGTTGAATAAGAAATCACATTTCTAACACTTGTAAGTAGCTCAATGGAAAGGAAAAGAGGCACACAGGGTGAGAGGGGACAATCTTTCTCCAGAGTTTCCTTCAATCATCCTAAATAATATTCATGAGTGTGATCTAACAATGACGGTGATCAAATGGTATGCTTTCCTAGCAAAAGAGTGGCGAAGCCTGATCCCTGGTCTGGTTATGGAAACATGGATTCATTTTCCAGGCGAATATACTCTAGGGGCTTCTTTGCAGATGCACTATTAGTATTGCTGCAGAAAGTGGCTTGAGTGCGCTTACGCGAGAGGCCTTCTCAGGTCATGGCTTTAAAATAACCTGATGTTTCTGTTTGAGATTCAGGAGCCTTGGTGAGGGAGAGGGTGGAGAGACATGGGGAGAGGAGATCAGACGAGAGCTATATCATGCCTCACAATACTCACTAGCAAGGGTGGAAAAGTCTGGATACTTTGGCAGCAAAGAATATGATTTCAAGTTTTTTTTACTGTCAACACACTTTCTTCCCATCCGCTGCAATAACCTGCAATCTTCCACACAAAGCAGTTGGCTCTGTGTCTGCTGTAAATTCAGCGGTCAGAGAAGTAGGAAGGAGGGAATTGATATCTGTTTCCTTCATCACTAAACCTCCAAAATTGGTTTTTAATCTTTATGAGCTTAAATAACTCCATTTTCATCTATACCAATTTTCTAGTCATGATCCCAGATAGAAAGAACATAGATTAAACGTACTTCCTTATGAAAACAGAATAGTAACTGCTGAAAACTTTCTAATTGCTACTCATTACATATCCCTAGAGAATTCTTTCTTTACATTTTTATTTTGCATCTTATTATAACTAATAGTCTGATGGCTCCTGGTCAGTAGTATTTAGATCATCTCTTTCATAGCAAGTGATTTAGAAAGAAGGGAGAAGGTCAGAGCTGACTGAAGACAGAACTAGCAATAAATATGAAAGGAGTGTGGATAACCTACTAAGGATGGGGGGTGGAAGTGTAATAATGCATAAAATGTCATTCTCAGCGCTGGAGAAGGTAGTCGTGTAAGCTGTTGTGTTTTGGAATCAACCCTGTGGGTAGGTAGCCCAACATCTGAAGCCTGCTCTACAGAGAACCATGTACCTGAACTTTTTTTTTTAGCCTGTAATAATATTTCTTTATTTTTATAATTTCTTTATTCATATATATTTTACATTTTTTTTAAAGATTTTTATTTATTGGGGCCTCCCCAGTGGCACAGCGATTGAGCTCTCGGTTCCGAAGCTGCCCGCAGCCTCTGCAGTGCCGGTTGTATCCCCAGCCACCGGGTGAGGGTCCCACGTGGCGCGCAGACCTCTCCTGCAGCGTCCGCTGCTCCCCTCAGCAGTGTGCTTCGTCGGTCTGCCTGTTCTGCTCTCCATTCTTTCCCTGGTGAGTTCTCTCGCCCTCCCGCGCTTCTGACTGTACCCAGTGCTTGTATAAATAAATAAATCTTTAAAAAAAATTGACTTATTTATACAAGAACCAGGGTACAGGCCAGATGTGCGGGAGGGTGAGAGGATTCACTAGAGACAGAGTGGGGAACAAAACAGGCAGACTGATGAAATACACTGCTGAGGGGAACAGCGGGCAAGACAGGGGGGGTCTGCTGTGCCATGTGGGTATCTCCATGGCCTGCGGGGATCAAACCTGCACTGTAGAGTGCTGCGGACAGCTTCACAGTGCTGCGCTCAATTGCCTGCGCCACCAGGGGAGGCTTTCATTGTTCATTTTTTAACAATATTTGCTTTCTCCTCTCAGGTGTAGTCCCTACAAAATTCCTACCACCAATTCACCTGTGCACCATCACCATAGTCCCTCGTGCTCTTCCCTCCCCTGTTTTGATTCCTTTCCCTCCTCCTCCCCTTCAGAATGTCTCTGATTTATAGTTGTCTGTTATTGTTATTTTTTTATTGTTTATTTTTCCTGATCCCTTATTTGGTTCCCCCACATTCCTCCTATAAGTGAAACCATCCAGTATTTTTTTTTTCTTCTGGCTTATTTCACTGAGCATAATCCCTTCTAGCTCCATCCATGTTGATATTTCTTTTTTTTAATTTCATTTTTTTTTTTAAGACGGGCACCTGAACTCTTGAATGAAGCCCGTGAGTGATGAGTAATTCGCTATTACTGGTCATTGATGAGTGTAGGAACCAGCTAATTCAATAAAAGAAAAGGGTCTTTGTGGGCTGCTGCCACACCTGGGGATGCATTTTTCCCTTTACTTTTAAATCAGAAATCATTTTGTGCAGCTGCCTTTGTGGCATTAGCAGAATCCCAACCAAAGGTGGACTTTTTACCACTGTGAAGTTTGCTGGTATTTTCACAAATTTGAGGAGGTGCAATTTATAAAAGATGGTGTTGTATTCCTCCCTAGAAGTCAGCTGCTTTTGACACTTTAATGCAAGGTCCTGAGCCTACAGGAAAAGCAGCCGGAGGTCACGAGGATCTGACGGCTTAGTGGCAACTACAGACAACAATCCACGAGGAAAGGGACCTGAAGAGCTCTTAAAGCATCAAGACTAACAATTTTTTTTTTAAATCTGTGATTTTGGCAATTAAAAATTCTAATTATTGCTAAGTGTATTTGAATGCTGTCTGTGATGACAGGATGGCAGGGATATAAACATGAGGAAGACAGTTACTAACATCCAAGAACTAATAAACTAGCAAAGGGTTAGCACACAGGGCCAAATCCAACTTGCCACCAGTTTTTATTAACAAGGTTTTATTGAAACACACAGCTATATTAGTTCACTTAGGTCTTGCCTATGATTGCCTTTACACTCTAACAGCAGAATTGAGTTGTTTTGTTAGATTCTGAATGACCTGCCTCTCCTAAAGTATTTACCATGAGGATCGTTTACAGAATAAGTTTGTCCTGAACCTCAGATTGAGGGGTGTATGGGCAGTGTCCAAATAGCCACATCACCAATAGGATCAAAAGTGGTAAGTTCTAGAGCAGGCGTTCAATGGGAAAGAGAAAGATGTTTTCATATCTTTGAGGGAACCAGGAAAACTTCATGGACCATTCAAAGCAGGCTTCACAGAGATTGGATTAAGATTGAGTAGATGATTTCAAAAAAGAATTTGACACAAATAAGTGGTCACCATGTCAAACAACATAAGGTGTGACTTAGGAACTGAAGAAGGTGGGGCAATAATAGCCATAGGAGTAAAGGTAGAAAGAGAAACCTTCAGAATATTGAGTATTTGGGTGGGTTTGGGTGAATTTGTTCATAATCAGAAGCAGAGAGTCCCTGGAGGTCATTCAGTATCGAGGTGACATAATATTTCACATGCAGGTAGGTTCTATTAGTAGTTCAAATGAACCACCTGTGCCTTACTAGTGACTATATAAAACAAAATATACACGCATGCAGAGTGAAAAGTTTACACCTCAGAGTCTATCCCAGTTTTCCTTAACTAAGACTGTGGGTCATTTCTTTAACCTCTTGGAAACTCCATTGTCTCATGTGTAAAATGGGGATAATACTAGCAACTTAACATGACGTCGTGAATGAAAACTAAGAAAAGCGATAGAGCTAAAGTCTCCACATAGGGCCTAGGACATAGAAGCCAATTCATAGATGCTAATTCTTTCTATAATTCTTTCTATTGAAAGGAATCCTAAAACTGCAGTATTGGCCTTTCTTGACCTACAAAAAGTACAATTTCATTTGGTTCAACTTAGTGTTTAGGGGAAGCAGCAAGAGAAATGACAGGTTGATACCTGCCTATTGGGACGTGACAAATCTCTTGACAAGCTAAGACCCACATTGTGTCAAGCCTCTCACACCTGGTCATTCTAAAAACATGGACAGGATAAGCACCAATCTGGGCTGTGTTATCTTTTCCAGGTGCCTGCATGAAACAGGCAACTGCCAGTTTGGAAAACAATTTTAGCCATAGAAAAATAAAAATTCATGTGGTTGGTTGAGGGATTCAACTTCTATTTCTTGCTAAGCCTTGGGCTTTGGTGCAGCCAGAATGTGAAGATCTGCTATGTCTTCCACAGAACTTAGCCTTGAATTCCTGGCATCTTTGTTGTAAAGGGCTCCCCAGCTGCTGTGGAAGGAAGGGACTGAAGAGAACCAGTGTGAGTGACTGCACAGGTTCACAGTTCAGTCTGCAGACAAAAGAAGTGAGACAAATTAAAAACAAGCTACCGATTATGGTGCAGGGAGCTATTGAGTGACTGGCTTCCTTAGCCAAAACATTAAAGCAAAGGGATGGAAGAAGTTAAGTACTTTGCAGAAATATTTAGCAGGCCGTATGAAAACAGAGCTAGATGCCATAGACTCTCAGCTGGTAGCAGGACGTAACGTGAACGCTTTCCTTTAGGCTTCCTTCCTTGGTGGTCAAGCATTATCCAGATGCCTTTCATCTGGTCTTGGGTTATAGCTCTCTGACCCTCCCAGCCTGGAGTGAATGTATCGTGTTTCCACAGTGTTTGCTGTTCCGAACAAAAGAAGGAAGCAAGACCAATATTGGCTTGTTGCTTTACAAACTGAGGCTAGAGGTTATGCCTACCAAAGAAGAATGAGAACAGATTACCACGCATTCATGACAGGACATACTGTATCAGACAGTAGCTCAGCCACTCATGACCTCTAAGACATGTGAGGAGGCCTCTGTCATAATAATCCTCATCATAATGCCTTTCAGTACTGCTAGAACCTACTGTACTTTTCGGCAAATTATCTCCATCCAGTCTCCTCGTGGTAATGCTGTATATCCTCACTCTCACTTTGATAGAACTTCTCTCTCCTGGCCTCAG